GCATGAATGGGATAAATGTGGAACACTGGTGGCTTATAAAAATAGAACAGAAATGGGAGACATTTTGGGGGGCACTTCCCCCCATTGCTTCCCTGTAATGCAAGGCCTATCTAAAAACTGAAACATGACATCCAGTACCCTCTCCACACTCCCAGAAGAATCACCCTCTATTACAAAGGCTTGTGGTGTATATTCCTGAATGTTATTCCCAGAAAACGGAACCTGTGGAAACTTTCATAATTGAGTCATTGACCTTCACAGCTTTTTCAAAAGAGAAAGGCCAATGAGTCACAATTATGCTATAACTCCAGACCATCTGAATTTCTTCAAATCTGATGCCTTTAGAACTGTTTAATCCTTGGCTCTCTCTGATAAACTCAGAATTAAAAATCTGCATGTTTGGTTTTTTTTTTAGGTCTGATTTATCTCAATCTTCAAGTTATATTGACTTTCAGGATAGATCATTTAGATAATCCACCATTTTATATTCTGTGTCCAAAAGCCGTAGTCACTCAGGATACCCCATTCTTACCTAAAAAAAAAAAAATGCACACACACACACACACACACACACACACACACCAGTCTCTCTTTCCCAAGCTTTGCATTCTGGTTCCTTGACCCATGATTCTTCCAAATAAGAAAACCTGAGAATAACATAAATAGATAAAGACCTTAGCTATCTATTAGTCCTATCTCCGCACTTCACAGACAGAAGGATATGTCACTTGCCCACTACCACTATTAGCACTAGAATTCATGGCCTCTAAGTTAAGCAAACAAATCCACAACAACAACAACAATTGAAAATAAACTCAGTCGGATACCCTGAATTATTCTAATTCTCAGATTCTTTATACTTGAGTTCTTCATCTGAATGATGTGGAAAACAATGGCCCTCTGACGAGATGCAGTCAAATGAGGTAATTTATCACAGTGAATAGGACATAGTAGATGTAAGACATGTTTGCTGAATCAATCACTCCGTAAATTAACCATTCCTAATAGCATTAGTTCTCTCTTACCTTTCCTTCCGTGACTCATCTCTTCCCACTGCCTCTAGCCTAAGGCCCTAGCCAGCCTGCAAAAGCAAGCCATAACTGATCTCACTTTCCCTTTTCCAGCCCAAAGCTATCCACACCACTGCACTGCCAATCTTTTAAAAGCTCTCTCCTCTATTAAAAAAAAAAAAAAAGAAGAGAGAGACTGTACTGCCTACTGGCAAAAGAACACAAGTCTCATCCTATGTTCATCTTATCTACCTCAGTGTGGCCCCGAGCCTTTCAAACGGTCCTCCCCGTCCTTCACGTGTGCACACTTTGTCATCTGGCTGGCTTGCTGGGCCAGTGGCTCTCGGCTCCGAGCTCAAGCTATGTCACCCCACCTCTCCCTGGAAGCCGACTCTGACAAATACAGATGAACTTTCTTCCCAGAGTCAAAGGCAAAGGCATGAATTACCTCCTATCTTGTATTTTTTTCTAAGTGTTTCACTCATAAATGTGGGAACTCTGCCTCTCTGAACAGATTCTAACTTTTGGACCAATTTTTCATAAATCTATGTAATGTCCCTTTCACAGTACTTAAAATGTATTCTAGTCAACTCAAAAAATGTAAAGAATTCTAAATAATCTCAATTCTTAGAAAAGCAAATCATAGAAGGTTTTCTCTATTATGCCAATTCACATGTTTAGTCATTTTCCCCTAAAACTATATCCTGTGTATGGCAGAAATTTATAGGCAGAGAAAATAAGCACTTGAGCAAAACTTTTTTATACTATAAAACAGCATTATTTCTGTAAAATAATCTATCACGTATAGTATATTTGAGGCAAATTTCATTTATCACAATATATCAGTGATTCTTTTCATTAAAAAAAGTTACATCCACATTGTGAAATATCTTCTTGAATGAAGTATCCTGTCTGCATTTGTGGATATTGAGCAAGGAATATGCTGGTTCAGGATTAAAGGTAAGAGTTTCTAAGGCTGCTTTTATCCAGTTCCAAAGTTGTAAATGAGAAACTCTGTTCCTCATACCTCACTTTTCACAATGTTGATGGTTACTTTATATTTACTATTTGTAAGATAGGTACAGTATGAGCCACATTCTACCTGTTGGGGGAACGCCTGGTTTACAAAAGCACAACATGTACTCACAGTTTCTCTCAACAACACCCTGAGGTTATTCCTGCTTTTGGAATCTAGACTATCCTGTCAAATAACTAAACTATTTGGTGACTGTGGTTCCTAAAAATTAAAATAATAATAATAATAATATTAAAACATTAAATAGATTGCATTGCTGAGTCAACCGGCTAATTCCAAAGAATGGCAAATAAGTATAAAAAGGGCTAAGAATCATAGACACAATGACATCGTTTCCCACTGTAATCTCACTCAATTTCACATTTTGTATTGTATTTTGTAAAGTTTCTGGGGAAAAAGAAGTAAAAAAAACCTCTCATCTGCACCATAGATAACCTATATTTAAGTGTTTGTGTAGTGGAACTTGTAGCAATTCAGATGTTTCCTTATTACGCTTCTCTGCTAAGTAATCCGGCAGTAACAATTGAATATTATTATAATCACGATAGTCTTCCAAGACAAGATATACTCAGGGTCCTTTCAAGGAGGGGGTTTGGATAATTATGTTAGTATCTATGCACAACTCAACAAAAGCCAACAGGGAATCTATATTTTACCCATAGTTAAGGGGAAAAAAGTGTGGAAAACGATCTCTCACTTTAACACTGATACACTGAAAATTCAATTCACTAAATTCTAGTGTTTTCATTCTTATAATTCTCTCACCTATTAAGAAAGCAGCTTTGTCAGTTTCTTTCTTTTGAAATAATTCCAGCTTTTTACTGTACAGTTTTCTCAAGATATTTGGAGATTTAATTTCAATGGTGCACAAAACAGAAGATAGAACTATTTGGTTTAATTTGAAAACTACTAACTTTGCAAATCTTGAATTTCTCCTTTTTGATATAATCTTTCAAGTTAAAAATTTTTAAGTTTAATGTTTTTATAAGAACCAAATTAATAAAATATCTGATAAAATGCTGCAAGTCAATAGATACTGTTTAAATACAGATATTAATTGAAATTAAATAAAACTATTTCCAGATACTACCTGTCTTAAGAGAGCAAGTTTGGCCATCCTAGGTTACAAGTCTCAAAATTGATATCAATTCTTTCTAAGGCCACTGGGCTCATGGTATTAGATCAACATTTTGAAATAAAAGACACACTACTGTACATAGTATCTCTTCTTCTTCTTCAAAAAAACAACAACCCAACACAAGAAGTAAACACCCCCCCCCCCCACACACACACAAACAACTATAAGTTTGGTTAACTGTATAGATAAGCATTTTATTCATATGACTTAACTGCATTTTTTTCCCCAAGAGTGTGACAGAGCTAACTAAAGGATATGGGATCAAAGGGCAGTTGTGAAAAATTCAGATATTTCGTTGCCTTTAAAGTTACATTAATTATCATAGTAAAGTGTTAATTATTTAGAACTCCTTTTCCCCTCTGCTTGGCCACCTACACATTCCATCCTTCAACCATAGAAGTAAATATGTCTAAAATTGGTGCTGGTTTTGATAAGCTGTGGTGATGACATTAGCCTGAGTTCCAGTTCCTGGAATGCAGAACTGTGACCATACAGTGACTTGTGGGCAGTTGGGTCCTAACATAACTCTCCTTGTCACCGCACATCCTCACTGGCTTGGAGCCAAGACTTGTGCTCTAAATATAATATACCAGTTAAACACAGGTGTTCTGGAATATCTGCTTTGTCAAATGAAGGGGAAGATGAGAGGGGAAAAGGAACTATGGTTCTATTTTTAAATACAAAAGATTTAAAACTATAAGTGCTGCACAGCAATGTCAGTGTATTTAATATCACTGAACTGTACACTTAAAATGGTGAAAATGGTCAATTTTATGTTATGCATATTTTACCAGTGTGGGTTTTAAAAACTCTGTCCAGGGGTTTCAGAAGTTTTTCACAGCTGTCTAATAAATTTCCAGGTCTAATATACACAATATGTCATAACTCGGTCAGGTTGTTCTTTCTGCAACATAACTCCTACTAAGCCAGTCTGCTTGAGGCCCAAATAAGCCTCCATTCATCAGGAATTAGTAAACAGCACTTACCACAGAAATCTCCAGCTAAAAGTAACAGAGGAAAGTATGATGTAAGAGTGGGTGTTAGACAGGGGATCTGTAGAAACGTCACTTGCTCCCAGACTGTGCCCTCTGTGAGGAGCTGAGGAGGCAGAAACCCCTACCTCCTACCCTAGGATTGGCCTTGCCCCATGTCCAGAATAGTTGGCACAAAGGTATGCAAAGGCTGGCCAGTGGGAGTTACAAGGTCTTGTCAGTAAAGCACTTCCAGAGGGTCCAGCACCATTCCAAAGGGCTGGGGCTGGCTCAGCCACAAATGCACCTCACACTCCTGCCTCAAGCCAGCAAGGAAGGTTAGCGCAGGCTGAGCTGAGGGAACGCACCGAGGCTCAGAAGCTGTAAGAGGGCAGTGCCTGCCTTTGGTGGCAGGTAAAGAACTTTTTGCAGACTGAAAATCGCCTCAATGTGCAAAGGTATTTGACATAAAGGGGAAACCCAGAGCCACACGCTACAGCTGTCATCGCCATTCTGTTTGCCATGCACCCAGAAGAAACTTCTATCTCTGCACACACACTGAAAGCATACTTTGGTATTCTCTTTCTCGCCCCGATTAGAATGTGAGCGCCCTTGTGGTCTCCGTATGTGTATAACCAGAACCCGCAATGTCTGGTACTTGGAAGGCGCTCAGTAAGTAAATGAGGAACTCAGCTCTGAAGCTGCAACCCAGACCAGCTCGGGCAGAAAGGCTTCCCCGATGCCCTGGGGTTGCAAACACACCTCTGCTGGTGCTGTCACTTTGAGAAGTCTCCACTGTCCGCAGGCGCCCCACCCAGACCTCTGCATACCCTGGAACTACCTACCAGCAACGGCGACCAGCAGACCGACAGCACGCACATTATCCCCATGAGCTGGATGGCCGTCTCAGTCGTGATCCGGCCCCACTGGGCGCTGGACTGCGACGCCGTGGCCTTGGCCCGGCAGCGGGATACCAGGGCCTTAATGGTGGCCAGGTTGCAGGCGACTGTGATGGTCAGCGCCGAGAGCCCCAGGAAGGCAAAGGTGGAGGCGAAGAAAAGGTTGCCCCAGTTGCGCGGGGAGCTAGTCCCGTTGCCGCCTCCCCCGGTGCTAATGAAGCACCACGTCCCGGGCCACTGGATGGTGTACTGGCCCACACCCAGCACCGGCAACAGGGCGAAGGCGAGCACCGCCAGCCACACGCCGAGTAGCACCGAGCGGGTGGCGCGCGTCTTCATGTGGCTCGCGTACCAGTGCGGGGCCCGGATGGCCAGCGCCCGCTCGACGGCCATAGCGCTAGCGACGAAGAGCGAGGAGAGCCCAAAGACAGTCATGGTCAGACCGAAGAAAGTGCACAGCCTCCCCGACGGGTCGAGGTGCTCCCAGCGCTGCTTGGACAGATACACGACGATGACCACGGGGCTGGTGAGCAGCTGCCCGACCATGTCGGTGAGCGCTAGCCAGCCGATGCACAGCAGGAACGACTTCTTGCGCTTGCTCTCCCGACGCCGGTAGCTCCGGGACACCAGCAGCATGGCCAGCGCATTGCCCACGAAGCCGGTGATCAGCATGGTGATCGGGTACACTACGGACACCGAGCGACAGTCCTCGCCGGTCTCCGCGGGACGCGTAAGGTTGCCCAGCGCCTCGCTGGAGCGCTCCGGCTCCCACATGCCCGAGTAGGAGTGGTTGAGACGGGTGCAGAAAGGGGCGCTCCCGTCGCCCCGGGTCGCCTTCATGTCTTCGAGGTGAGGATAGGACTGAGCCCAGAGAGCAGCAGCTGTTGCTGGCAGACGGGGCGCGGGAGACCGAGGAGGTCAGTAGCGACCCGGGCTGGTGCTGGGGTGGAGCTGCCTCCCATGATGCGGGCGCAGCCGCCGCCTCGCTTGCCTACATCGGCCGCGGCGGCGCTTGGGGTTTCGGGCCAAGCAGGCAGCCGCGCCGTCGGCTCGGGGAAGCCTGTAGCTCCCACGCGTGCAGAGGTGCCTCGCCCCTTCTATAAGGCCCAGGGGGGCGGGGCACCTGTGGGTGTTGGCTTAAGTGCGGTGGGAGGAGCAGGGAGAAGCAACCGCGCGCGCGAGCTGGGAAAACCTCCAGGAGGGATCCTCTCGAAATGCCCGGCTTCTGGCCGCCCGGACGCCCTCACCCGCCCTGCATTTCCACCGGTCTCTGCCGCCGGAGCGCCCATGGGCGGCGGGGGTTAAATGTTCGCTGGGCTTCCCAGCCCCCGCCAAGTTGCCAAGGCGGGCGAGAGCGCCCGCCCTGCTCCACTCACAGGAACTGGATCCTCCCCCTTGAAGCTCTTGTGTACCCGTGACAAGTGGAACCCACCTGTCCCAAAGTAATCTAGGCAAACCACACTCCTTTGCAAAGCCGATTGCGAACTTTTCCCCGTTCTACTTCAGGACTCTGGAAAAGTCACGAGCAGGCCAGGCTGCTCCGTTGTTTCCCCGGGGCTCCCGAAACGTGTAAAATTAGTAGTACTGTTATAATCCAGTATTTCTCCATCTGCTAGAAGAAGGAACATCTCCTGGGTCCCTTGAACCCCAGTTGTTTTTGCAAAAACTCTTGAAGAGGAAGGTATGCATCCCCATGACCACAAGGGTATTGACCATGAGATTAACTAATCAGGAGATGCCAGGCGGGGCAATGAGACATTCAAGGCTAGGGTCTAGTAAATGTTAAGAAATATAAAATAAACAACTTTTACAGCTACTAACTGCTGATATCTCCTTCTGTACACGTAGCTTGCTTGCTCTGCTAAACTCTTGAGTAACCCCTGTCCTATATAAGCAACCCTCCCCCTGAGATCGGGGCTGCAGTTCTCCTCTGCGTAGGTTGGCTGCAGTCCCTGCGCAGGTAATAAAGCTCCCAATATTCAAAACTACTTTGTGTCTGAGTGAGGTTGATTGTCCTGGGTTACAACAGGACCTCCAGACATAAGGAAACAGGTTCAGGGAAACAAAATAAAATCTGATGGTCGAATTAAAAAAATGAAGATAGCCCAATTACCACCTCCCACCTAAATTCCCCCTTAAAAACAAGTTAGCTAAAAAGTTAACAAAAGCAGCTAGAGGCAGGTGGCAGCCACTTGCATATCTGAGACCCTGCTGACAACTGCTGCCAGCTGTGGGAATTGGGGTGTGGGGGGAAATGTCGCAGGAGGGAGGCATGCCCAAACGTTCTCCACCCCTTGCCCATTTTTCTAAATTCAGACTGGAAACTGTTGAGATGTTAGGAAGAGCTTCACCTTTAGTGAAATGGGCACAGTCACCTAGTAACATCTTTTATTAAGACAATATTTTATGTGTTTTCACAAGTATTTTCTTATTTTGTCAGAGATCCTCCAAGGTCCCATTGCTATTATTATTAACCCCCTTTTGTGATGAGGTAACTGAGGCTCCATGAAGTCAGAAGATATGCCTAAGTCTTTCAGTAATTCCCCAGTCTGCCTTCTTACTAGAAGCACAGTGTTTCTCCCATGGATACCATCAACACTCTTAGCAGGTGCACATCAGTGGTAAGATCAGTTCTAGCCGAATCTAGAAAGTGCCTGGTTTTTATGCCCCCCCCCCTTTTTTGTCTCTTCACCTTGTTCATGAAAATATTTTGTAAATTATTTACAAACTGCATTTTTCTTCATGTTTAAGAAATTAGACCTAATCATAGAGTATACTGTGAAGGCCATTACTCAGGCGTCAGATAAAATTTTGGAGCTGGTCATGTCAGTTTCTTTGTCATTTCTAGCTTAATTGGTATCCTTTTGGGATATAAATGAATGGTGGATGATGAGAATGGTTTATGCTCTCCTGCATTCTTTCTTTCTGTGCTATTTTGATTCTGCTTGAGAGCTTTAAAGGAGAGCCCTGGCCAGTTTGGCTCAGCGGTTAGAGCGTCGGCCTGCGGTCTGGAGAGCTTTAAAGGAGAAAAATCAAAATGTAATTTAAACTCAATTTTAACAACATGCATTAATCCCATTACTAATTTCATTTTATGTTGTGTTTTGCTGTCATTTAAAATTGTCTTGCACTTTTCAAATTTTTTTTAAATGTCATATTTCTAATGAGAACAATAGCTAAGAAGGAGTAGTGAAGTGGTTCGCTTTTTAAATGTCCCCTAAACTTTTGTTTTACTAATTTGAATTAATCTTAACCCCAAAATTGGGAAAGTATTTCTCTAGACTGTCATTTGAAAATGAAAATATTTGATGGTATCCTTAGATACACACTTTACCTAAAGTACATATTAAATTTAATTTTTCAGCAATAAATTTATAGTGTAATTATGTATTTTATTTAAATATTAAAGACCATTTTATGATTCATATAGCTAAGAAAGCAAAACTGAATTATTCTCATTTTAATTATAAATATTTGACTTAAAATTGTTTCTTTGTTGATTTTAGAGAGAGAGGAAGGGAGAGGGAGAGAGAGATAGAAACATCGATGAGAGAGAACATTGATTGGCCACCTCCTGCATGCCCCCTACTGGGGATTTGGCCCACAACCTGGGCATGTGCCCTAACTGGGAGTTGAACCAGCGACCTCTTGATGCATACATAGGTCGACGCTCAACCACTGAGCCACAAAGGCTGGGCAATATTTGACTTCTTTAAATTTTTACTTTCTCAATAAACAAACAAAGTTGGAACAGACTCATAGACACAGAGAGTGGACTGGCAGTTGCCAGAGGGGAGGAAGATTGGGGTACTAGGTGAAAGAGATAAAGGGATTAAGAAGTTTAGACTGATAATTAAAAAATAGTCACAGGGATGTAAAGTACAGTATAAGGAATATAGTCAATACTATTGCAACAACTAGGTATAGTGTCAGGTGTATAACTGAAATATTGCAGGGAACACTTTGTAAAGAATATGATTGATAACCACTATGCTGTATACCTGAAATTAATACAAAATATTTAATGTAAACTGTAATTGAAAAATAAAATTTAAAGTTGTTTTAAAATTATATATATATATAATTGAACTTCATGTAATAGGAACAAACATCGGGTTATGTAGTATCCAAGAATTAACGTTAACCCCTTTTACTCACCTCTACACTAATGTGCCATCAGATCTTTTGTGAAACACTTTCCTTCTTTCAGTGTTTTGTTTCATTCAATTTTAAGTTGTCTGTTTTATAGCTATTCACATTGCAAACCAGTGATTTAGGGGATCTGAGGATGCACACAAACAGGACTCTGGCAGCTAGATTCTGTTTGGCACTTTTAAAAAAGTGTTGCTTTTAGGAAGAGAGAGAGAGAGAGACATAGAGAGAGATCCACGTGAGAGAGAAACATCCATTGGCTGCCTCCCTTTTGAGCCCCTACTGGGGACCAGTCGGGACCAAACCCACAGCCTAGGTATGTGCCCGGATTGGAAAAGGAACCCGCAAAGGTGCACAGGACAGAAGCTCAGACCAAGCCACCACACCGGACCTCTTTAGGACTTTTCTGATGTTAGAGCAGAAACAGTATGAATTTCTGAATTTTGGTCACCAGCACCCTCTAGTGACTAAAAAGTCTAATAACATACTGTAGACTAGATTGAAGAGAATTTCTGAAAGACAAATACATGTTTTGCTTAAGGAACCTCTGATATTATTCCTAGGGGTCAAAACTCACTAATTCATAACTCTGCTCATTTTGTTTTCCTTTGAGAGTACAAACTGGCATGTCTGCTTAATCAATAAATCAGTGGAGGATTAAAGTTACATTGTCAGATTACATATTCAAATATTTTTTTAAAAATTTAAAGTATAGCCCTGGCTGGTTTGGCTCAGCAGTTAGAGAGTCTTCCCTCGGACCAAAAAGTCATGGGTTTGAGTCCAGTCAAGGGCACATATCTAGGGTGCGGTTTGGTCCCTGGTCCTGGTTAGGGTCGTGCGGGAGGCAACCAATCGATGTGTCTCTCACATCCATGTTTCTCTCTCTCTCTATCTCTTCCTCTCGCTCTGTCTGAAAATAAGTGGAAAAATATCCTGGGATAAGGATTATAAAAACAAAAAACAAATTTTAAGTATATATTCATCCATTATATATTATAACTGGATTTTTGCCCTAAAAATTTTAATCCACAAATTTAATTGCATCCCTCCTATATCTTACATTTAAAATTCACAACAATTAATATTGAAATATTTACTTCTTCTGAACTTCTATTAAGAAATCTTAACATTGATATGAATACAAAAACATGATTAAAATCTAGTTTCACATAATCAGGCTCTTGATTACCTCATCATGGATGGAAAATATCTGCAATTCTTACTTCCTGGGGTCAACTTGTAATTTCAGCATATTTTTTTAGACATTTACTCAATAAATATTTATTGAGCACCTACTTGGTGTCAGACATGTTACAAGTTGTTAAGGATACAAACACACACGCATGCATACATGAGCACACACACACAAAAGCCTACACATTTATGGAGTTTATATTTCAGTGCAAAACTCTTGATTTTTAAAAATTCAAAATAAATGAAGCAAGAATGCTAATCTCAATGGCTTTTGTGATTTGCCAGGGGGGTAGGATCTCATATGAAACCCAATTGAAAAAACTATGTACAGTTTTTATTTAAAAACATTGGAAAAATATGTAGTTTTCATGATCAAATAGGACTTATCTCAAGAACCCAAGGTAAATTTGACACACAGACATCCATCAATATAACTACAATTTTAACACAATAAAGGAGGTGCTCTAATGACTTTGCTAAATCAAATATCTGGATACACTGAGTCTCTTGTATTGACAGCCTTTCTCCAAACTTTTCTTCCTATTTCTTTACATGCCTAGTCCTTTTCAATTGAAAACTGGACATTATAGTTAGTATACTGTAGTGACTGTGGATTCCATTGTTTTCTCCAGAAAAATTACAGATTTGAGGGGTGAGGGTGGGGAGGGTACTGATGGCAGTTAACTTGCCTGGATTCAAACTGCCAACGTTTCCTCTCCT